TATGGGGACTTGCTTTATTTTCTCCAAAGAAAATCAATTCTCCAGAATTTCACTGTATAAACAGATTTATGGCCGCACAACATGTCACAAATTATGTGAAAGTCTAATATGATATTTAGTACCTGTCACCAGATAAAAGTGTCACACACCATTAAACTGTTCAGCTTAAAGGCAGATCATGTTCACATTATAATAGCATTAATACCATTCATACCCCCACTGCACAAATGCCATCTGATGCAGGAGGCTTCATTTGTATTCACTATGAATTCTTCATCAGTAACATGTTATAAATGCACGAAATCACATTTATACAGGCAATAATTTATAATGGAGGTTGTAAACAAGCACAAAATGGTTCCTAAACAGGACTTGTTCCATCAGTTGAGATGGTGGCTGCATAAAAACAGCAATAAATAAATATAGTGTTTTGCAGCATCAGTCTATGTTCTTGCATGAATTTCTACTGGGATTAGGCTGACATTTTAATAACAACAGTGAGGATAGTATTATAACAAAATGTTCTTAATTTTAAGGTCCACTTCTAGACCATTCATTTATGTTTTATGATCGTCATCCAACCCTGCATCCTAGAAGCTATATTTGCATAGAGGTTGCCATGGCAGTGGCAGCCTGTTACAGCAGCTCCTACTGCATCTTTCTACGTTGTTTGTTAGGTTTTTGTCAAATTTCATGTCATTTTTGTCAAATTGCATTGTATGTTCTTCTGACCTATGGGTATTTTAACCATAGGTCCCTGGATTCTACCTTTCCCACATTCATTCAGTATGTTTACAATAACACCACACACAATTCATCCATCCATCCATACATCTTTGTCCGCTTTATCCGAGAACGAGTCGTGGGGGCAGTAGTCCGAGCAGAGCCCCCTCAGACTTCCCTCTCCCCACACACCTCCTCTAGCTCCTCAGGAGGAACCCCAAGGCATTCCCAGGCCAACTGGGAGACATAGTCTCTCCAACATGTCCTGGGTCTGCCCCGAGGCCTTCTCCTGGAGGAACATGCCTGGAATACCTCCCCAGGGAGGCGTCCAGGGGGCATCCTAAACAGGTGCCCGAGCCACCTCAACTGGGTCTGCTCAACTTGGAGCAGTGGCTCTACTCCGAGCTCCTCACGGGTGACTGAGCTCCGCACCCAATCCCTAAGGGTGCACCCAGCCACTCTCCGGAGGAAACTCATTTCTGCCACTTGTATCTGCGATCTCATTCTTTCGGTCATGATCCAAAGTTCATGGCCATAGGTGAGGGTAGGAACGTAATGAAATGAAGCGACTGGTAAATTGAAAGTTTTGTCTTACAACTCAGCTCCTTCTTCACCACAACAGACAGGTACAGAGACTGCATTACTGCGGACACCGTACAGATCCATCTATTAACCTGCTGCTCCATTTTTCCCTCACTTGTGAACAAGACCCCGAGATACTTAAAAACTTCTCCACTTGAGGGATCAACTCGCCCCCAACCTGGAGAGGACAATCCCATGAGCCAACCAGGCCCGATGGAGCTCCTTCTTCAGCTTGACGGCATCCCTTACTTGCAGTGTCCACCACCGTTTTTGGGGATTGCCACCACGACAGGCACCGGAGACCTTACGGCCACAGCTCCCAGCAGCCGCCCTGACAATGGAGGTGTGGAACATAGTCCATTCGGACTCAATGTCCCCAGTCTCCCTCGGCATCTGTTTGAAGTTCTGTCAGAAGTGGGAGTTGAAGACCTCTCTGACCACCAGGTGTTTCCAACAGACCCTCACTATACACTTGGGCCTGCCAGGTCTGTCCAGCTTTTTCCCCCGCCATCGAATCCAACTCACCACCAGGTGGTGATCAGTTGACAGCTCAGCCTCTCTCTTCACCCGAGTGTCCAAAACATATGGCTGAAGATCAGAGGAAATGACTACAAAGTCAATCATCAACTTTGGTCGATGAGGTCGATGATGACTTGTTTTATGCCATTGTAAATGAAGCATTTAGCTCATCAGCCTTCCTGCCATTGTAAATGAAGCATTTAGCTCATCAGCCCTCCTTCCCCTTGATCAGATCATAACTTGGTGCATCTCTTTAATATTTACACAGCTGTGGTACAGAAACAGCAAGGGACAACAAGAACAGTCAGTAGATGGTCAAATGAGTCATTGGATGCTCTGAGAGACTCTTTTGAGGCAACTGACTGGGAATTGCTCTGCAAGCCACATGAAGAGGTCACTGAGTGCCTTACACCCTCCATTACTGATAACATCACTTTTGTTGTTGAGTACATTGTGGCCATCCAGAAGGTGCTGTGCTTCTCTAATAATGAGCCTTGGCTTACACATGAACTCAAGCTCTGACTTCCTGTATGCAGCAGAAGTGTAAAGGTGTCACACCGTGTGGGTTGGCACCTGCTGTGCAGCAAACATCTGACCAGTTTTATAATCTGGACACAACAATCTGACAAACACTCACTGCTGTTTAACCTGTGGCACCAATTACATCAGTAACTGGCCACAGAGCACTGGGACCAGCTGCTAGCAGCTCACACTGTGTGTTTATAACAATGTGATACAAATACAGAAGTTGTCTGAGTATCAATACAGTGTTTCACACTGGAGATTCAGTTTTCCATGGATTATCATGATGTAAGAGCTGATTATTCCTAATTATTTTACCAACAAAAGGTTTATGATAGATTACATAGGTTAAAAAAAAGTTGTATTTTAATTCATATGTATAAAAACCTTACAGACCAACGAAGCAAACATGCACAGGTCTGGTGATTGTTTGTGGCAGATGCATATAATTTCGATTACATTTTGATATTAACGGTGACTTTACTGCATATCACTGTGCAGATCAGTGAATCTTCAGTTTTTCACAATACAAACATCTTTACGGCAGCAATTCTGGGTTGGGAGCTGGGCTGCATCTAACTTCTGATGAGTCTGCAGATTATTTTTGTGAAGAACTGATTAAACCTATAGACCTTAACATGTAAAAACTTACACTCTAAAAAGTGTGTTCTTATCTTAGGTACCTGAACTTCCAGGAGAACCACATCAACGTGATCCATCAGCAGGCCTTCCAGGACCTTGTGCGGCTGGAGAATTTCTACCTCAATGACAACCTGCTGCCTGCTCTGCCCCAGTTAGACCTCAGCCACTTCAGGATGCTCAACCTTGGGGGGGAAAAAGTTGACCAGCATGTCCAAGACCTGGTTCAGTGACCTGGTGGAGCTGGAGGTCCTGTACCTGGACAGGAATCAGCTACTATACATCGAGGAAGGAACATTTGAGAACCTGACCAGCCTCATCACGCTCCACCAGAACAGCAACAACCTCACCACCCTTCCCCTCCCTGTTTTCCAGCCCATCTACTTCCTGGGCTGCCTCTACCTCTTCAGAAACCCCTGGGAGTGCAACTGCTCCCTCGAGTGGCTGAAGGAGTAGATGAAAAACTACAAGCTGGTGCGGGACTTTCCGCTTGCTTTCCTCCATGGCGGAGCTGTATCTCAGTCAGGTGGTCTTCATCAAGGTGAATGGCACCTGCGCTGACCCTGTGTGGACCCTGCGTGGACTTCATTATTGAAAATTAAATTATATTACAACTTACTTTGTACATATGCGTTTTTTAATTCTCTATTACTATTAATGTTATTCCATTGTGCACTTCACTATTCTAGTTTTCTATATTCTATTTTCTGACATTTAGACTTTTCAAGTCGGCCCTAAAAACCTATTTTTTTTAAACAGGCTTTTGATGTTTAGGGCGTTTTCACCTCTTTCATTGCTTAATTTGTTTTTGTTTTGTATACCTGTGTTTTTACTCTGTTTATGTTTTTTACTGCTTCGGTATGGTCTAATATTTTTTTGTATGGTTTTACTTGGCGATGTTTGTTTTACTGTGCAACACTCATACTACTCATACTGTGCTATATGCATAAAGTTTATTTTTATATTATTATTATTATTATTATTATTTATTTGCAATGTTTTCTTTTTTATGTCTTCTCACTAGGTGTGTGATGATACACAACACATGAGACGAGACGATATTTTTAAGGACATGGACACCCACAGGAAGAAGACTCTTTTTTTTAATCTTGTTAGCATGAGCATTCACTGCTATTCACGGTTGAATTTGGCCCACAGTTTAGCAAGTACTGGTTGCTAAGTTAGCAAGTACCAGTTTACCAGTACTAACAAGTAACATGTTTGTTAGTACTGGATGTTAAAGAGTGTTTTTTATCTATAAGTACAGATACAATGGTGGTAGAATTGCTGCTACAGTAATGTAGGCTATGTTAGCAGCATGGCTAACTAAAACACAATGGAAACTGACAGGCTGGAAACAAGAATGAAGTCATTCAAGTTGACTCATCACAATGTGGCCATATCGCACACATCTACAACACTTCCACTGCAACCCCTCACCCCCCAACCAATGCAGACCCATGTGTTAAAACACAGTAGAGAGTTGCATTTTTGCCAAACTCATGTACATGTAACGTAACTTTGCCATCACACTTCATCATGCTGGCTGCTGCTCTGGTTCTGTTATGTACTGATATTGTGAGACAGCTTTTGCCTCGACCAGAAATATTGTCATGTTTTAATATCACAAAATCTTGTTGCATGAGATCTCGTCACGTGCCTAATGCTCACCTTTCCATACTTACAGTATATTTCTACCAAATCTAATATCTAAGTCTTCCTCTGCTGCCTGTCTGAAATCTACATTCTGAATTCTTATTTATCTTCCATCTTCCTTTTTTCTTTTAACACAACAATCCATCTTCTGCTTCGATCTCTTAATTCACTTTTAGGTATATTTTTCAGAGAAATTAGTAGGCTGGTTAGCAGACAGAGGATGAGATGAGGCTTGAAACGGTTGTGAGATAGGAGGTAAAAGAGCAAGTGGTAGCGTTTGTGTGCATGTGTGCGCATACAAGACAGAGAGAGAGCATGTCAGTGTCTAACAGTACAGGGAGGGAGAGAGAGAACAGGCTGAAAGCATACGGAGAGGCGGAGGAGAGCATAGCAGCATTAAGCAGCTCACAGATCAGTGGATGCTGACAGATACACAGCTACTGATGGGCAGAGGGAGGCAGAAAATACAGGATTCTCACTTTTCACAGGAGAAATGGAGGAGATGACAAGATATACTACCCATTTTCATCATCACACTGAATAAGCCGGGAAGACAGCAGCATTACTGCAGCTACAGATAGACGGTAAGTTATTAACATACACCTGCAAGTGCTAAAATTATTCATGACATTCAGTGAAGGTTGAAAAGCTGGTTTTTCCCTGCTTTTCAAAATGTCTGTGGCGTCATTTAAATAGGATGTTTATTGTAAATGCATGTTGGGAATTGATACAGTCAGCCCAAAGGCTTATTTAAAATGAAGAGGAAAATATCCTCCACAGCTTTACACAGGTGACCTATGACTGTCTGACCTCTGGCTTTTGTATGGACAACAGTCATGTAACATTTCATCAGCAGTAACTAACCACATTTTACTGCATCTTTGTCAAAATGTTATAGTTGCAGTGTTTACATTAATCAACCAAACCTTTCTCCATGTAATACTCTGTTGAATGGCAACAAACATTTACTGCCCTGAGTGATTAAATGATCAATGTTTATTTTTTCATAATATAAACACAAATTTAGATGGTGAAGGTAATAATAATCACCTTTATTTGGCCAAGTATGTTACACACACAAGGAATTTGTTTCCGGTACAGAACCGAGGCAGCCGTCTGCGGCGTCAACTCACACTGATGGCTCTAACCATCGGGGCAACTTGGGGGGTTCAGTGTCTTGCCCAAGGACATTTTGACATGTAGACTTCAGAAACCATGATTCGAAATGCCAACCCTCCGGCTGGGAGGCATCCACTCTACCCACTGAACCACAGTCACCCCCATGTGCATATAAAGGTGTATAGGTTTAGTTTCTTCAATAAAGATCTGACAATTTAAATTAAATTGTATAGTTAGTATATATTTTCAATTTCAAATCAATTTAATTTTATTTGTATAGTGCAAATTACAACAACAGCAACAACCAGGAGGGATGTTCTGCTCCCTGTGACAAAAGCATTTGAATGCCTCTGATTGGCTCGGCTGAGGATCGTTATGTGCTCTCTAGTCATGGTGGACAGAGCGAGACTTTCAAAAGTGTTGGCTCATTTTGCTAAATTTAATGAAAAAATGAAAAGACAGCTTAATGCAATAAATGTAAAACAGTAACGATGTGCAATGGTCTTAACTACTATTGTAAAGTCTTTTCCGTGCAGTCAGGAAAATATTTCCATTGGCAAGATAAATGCCTTTGGTCTCTTTATATATTTTTTTGTCTAAAATTAAATTTACCAATGTAGAATTAAAAGATACCAGAAACTCCAGTAAAATTACACCATCTGATATTTCTCAATGATTAGAATTGTAAAACCTAGATGTTATTGTAACAGGGTGACGCCTTACTCTTGCTGTGGTGTGTACATGTGAGTAAAGTAGTGGTTGTTTGGTGGAGGGTTTTCACTTGGTACAAGCCAATGACTGATTGCAGTGAGTGAACTGATCCCAGGTATGCGTGTGTGGGCACGGTCTCCACTCTACAGGCTATTTAAGAGCACATGTGACAGCCACTGTCAGCATTCATTTTCCTGTATTTACCTGTGCACCCTCATGAATTCCTCAGCTGACAGGCTCAGCACTACTTGAATTGTTTTAAATGTTTCATTGTTATGTAGGTGAAATTTCTCTGTTGTAGGGTCCAGAACACGACCAAGTCTAAACATGGCATGTTTGTTCTTCCTGGGCCTTGGCTGAGATGCCATCACATGTCTAACAACATCACAACCACCTCGTAGAGCCTTATCATCCTAACAGAGCACTTCGCTCTCAGAGTGCAGGTTTACTTGTGGTTCCTAGAGTCCACAAAAGTAGAATGGGAGGCAGAGCCTTTAGCTATCAAGCTCCTCTCCTATGGAACCAACTCCCAGTCTCAGTTCGGGAGGCGGACACCCTCTCTACCTTTAAGATTAGACTTAAGACGTTCCTTTTTGATAAAGCTTATAGTTAGGGCTGGATCAGGTGACCCTGAGCCTTCCCTTAGTTATGCTGCTATAGGCCTAGGCTGCTGGGGGCCCCATGATGCTCTGAGTTCTCTCTCCCTGTACTTTTCTGCAGGTTGCCCTGGCCCTGGAGCTCTATGTCTCTGACGAGCAGTCACCAGCCACATCGACCTGATCAGTGTTTGATTGTTGTGTCTTGTTGCTTTTCTTCTTTTGTCTCTCCTCTATCCACTCACCCCAACCATTCGAAGCAGAAGGCCACCCACCAAGAGCCGGGGTCTGTCAGAGGTTTCTTCCGTTAAAGGGAGTTTTTCCTCCCCACTGTCGCCAAGTGCTTGCTCAAGGGGGATTTGTTGGGTTTTCCCTATGTAATAATACTGATAACAGTAAGGTTTAGACCTTACTTTGTAAAGTGTCCTGAGATGACTTTTGTTGTGATTTGGCGCTATACAAATAAAATTTGATTTGATTTGATTACCAGAGCTTTAACCAAGTTCTTTATGACGTTTGGCCTACCAAAAGTTGTGCAGAAAGACCAAGGAACAAATGTACTGTCTAAAACCTTCAAACAGACTTTGCAGTCTTCTAGGAGTCACCCATTCTCTATCCAGTGTGTACCATCCAGAGTCACGCTGCACTGTCATCAAAGCCACGCTGTTTCAGCTCCTATCCACTTCCCTCAAGGGTCAATGCCTGCAAGATTATCTTTCATACAGTAATATGCACAAGAACTGCCTACAGCAGCATCAAGCTTGTTTTAGTGAAACTTTTCTAATTATAACATTTGCTTGTTTTTATGAGATACTTTCATGTTTAAACATGCCATTACGACATACTGTATTTTCTCATTTAATGACATACTGTAGGCTATTTTGTCATGGTAACAACATAGTGCAGTTTCTGGTTCTTATTTCCTCTTCTTTTCCACTGCCATCATGTCAACCTGCCTGTTCTCTCCCCAGTTCCTTTCCTCTTTCTTCTTCAGGCTACCACCTTTCACTTCTTTGGCTGTCTGCTCCTTTCCTATCCTTTATGGGCACTGGGCTGCCTCCTATCCTGTCAGCTCCAGGTGCCGGGTTACCTGCGGCTCCCATCGCCTACTCCAGCATCAGGCCCCTACCCGCCCATCCTTCTTGGCAGCTCCCTCACTTGTTTTGGGGCCATATGGTGTGAAAAATAGTTTGTCAATTCATAATCTCAGGCATTACACAGGCATTCAATATCCTTGTAGTTCATTCATTTATCCTTACAGTTCCATTCGTACTTAGTAAGGGCAGGTTTCTGCTAGTGAAATGCTATTCAACATGTGAGTCTTACAGGCAAAACCCCATGGGTGCGAGGCAGATTCCACTTAAAATGTATTAAGAGTTGAAGACCTTGATTCAAAGTATGTTGGAATCAAATATTTCTGTGCCTATTCAGTGACACATAAAGACACCTACTCACTACCAAAGATAGCTTTTGCCAGGCTGGCTAGGGATTCCTCTAAGTACTTTTCACCAATTGATGTTTCAAGTGATAAACAATGTGACTGCCAGAAACACCAGCAACTTTGGTTCAAAATCAAATCAAATCAAATCAAATTTTATTTGTATAGCGCCAAATCACAACAAAAGTCATCTCAGGACACTTTACAAAGTAAGGTCTAGTCCTTACTGTTATCAATATTATTACATAGGGAAAACCCAACAAATCCCCCTTGAGCAAGCACTTGGCGACAGTGGGGAGGAAAAACTCCCTTTAACGGAAGAAACCTCCGACAGACCCCGGCTCTTGGTGGGCGGCCTTCTGCCTCGACCGGTTGGGGTGAGTGGATAGAGGAGAGACAAAAGAAGAAAAGCAACAAGACACAACAATCAAACACTGATCAGGTCGATGTGGCCGGTGACTGCTCGTCAGAGATATAGAGCTCCAGGGCAACCTGCAGAAAGTTACAGGGAGAGAGAGAGAGGACACACTACGGGAGAGAGGAGAAACAAAGTTAGTAATGTGTAATGGGGGCATATAGAAGCATAGGGAGAGAGAGGGGAGGAGAGCAG